GTTTAAGTAAAAGTGGTGCTGTTTCCCTGAGTGGGTGCAGTGGGCAGCCAATTCTGAGACCATGGCAGGCCACTAAGGCAGCCAGTTCCAGGCAGGGAGCCTCCAAGTGGCCCGTGGGAGTCCTAGGCAGGGAGCTGTGTGGTGGGTGAGAGACTGAGACAGATAGGCATGTCATACAGAGTGAGGCTGGATATTTATTTAGTGGGTTATGGAAGGGAAGAAGAGAAGGGGGAAAAACAGAGAGAGACAGAGAGAGAGAGAAAGGGGAGAGGAAAGTGAGACAGAAGCTACCTCAGAGAGAGAGGGCAAGAGAGAGAGAGAAAGAGAGAGAGAGAGGGGGGGGCAGGGCTCAGACTGGAAGTGGAAGGAAGATCTGCCCGCCTTATCTGCCTGCCTCGGTGGTTGACAGGGGAGAGAGTGGGTGGGACTTATCTCTTAAAGGGACAGGACAGAGTATTACAGCCATTCCCTATGAGTTTTTTGGGCCAAATACATTCAAACTACCACTACTGATAAAGGTGTCCTCTGAATGAATGCTTGGTAGATGTGGTGGTTGAGCTGGTCCTTGACTCAAATTGCCACAGTGGTCTCCCAAATTCACCCCCTTCCTGGACCTCCACAGATATGTTCTTTTTTTAACTGAAGAGATGGCTAACCTCCTTTCAAGAGAACCCCTGAAATGTGGTCACTAATGTACCCTATATATCTTACATCCAGGCTTGATGGTGTATGTCTTAATGCTTCAAATGATGAGGCAAGAGGATTTCCCAAAGTCCAAGGCCACTCTGCATTAAATAATAAATACCAGGATAACCAGGACTACATAGTGAGAATTTTTTCAAAACTCACTTCCGAGAAACAAAAAAGTCAGTTCTTTTTTGGGCTTCATTCAGAAGGGCTGTGGTCCTTTGCCAGTGTCTTAATCATTTGTCCTGTTTCTGTGGCAAAATATTGTGTCAAAAGCAATTTAAGGAAAGGGTTTATTTTGGCTCTTGGTTCAAGGGTAGAGTCCATCATGGCAGAGAAATCAAAGAGGCAGAAATTTGAGGCAGCTGATCACATTACCTGTGCAGTCAGAAAGCAGAGAGAGATAAATGCTGGTTTTTATTTTCTCCCTCCACCTCCTTTATTAACTAACGTTGCACATGTGGAAATCAGAGGATGACCTGCAGGAGTCAGGTCTTGCCTTCCACTTTGAAGGTCCTAGGGATAAATTTTGGCTGCAAGCACTCGTGCCCACTGAGCCATCTCCCAGGTTCCACCACTTTCTCCTTTTCACACAGTTCAAGACTTCAGGCTAGCAAATGGTGTCACCCACATTTAGGGTGGGTCTTCCCACCACAATTATCATAATCCCTTACAGGCCTGCCTAGAGGTTAACCTACCTAGACAGTCCTTCAGAGCCACACCTGGAGACTTGTCTTGTTGGTAACTCTAGAGCCAGTCAAGCAGGGTCAATATCTGCCATTACAGCCAGGGGCAAGGAAAACACTTGACCCTCTGAGAGGCTCAGGTTTGGTCTGTCTGGAATCCCCTCTGGGATTGATCCTTAGATCCAGTTCTGACTTCAGGAGTAACTGCGCTGGACAGTTCCCTGCAATGCTGGAGGGCACATGCACTCTGCATGCAGCATCTCCACCCTTTTCCTCCTATGTTCTGATCCACCACTCAGATGTCAGCCAGTTCTTTTCCAGTGGTCTCTCTGAAGAAGATATTCTCTGGGACTGCAATGGGTCCTCTGGCTCCCTTGCTAGGCAAGTTAGTCCTGTGTTCTGACAGCGCCCCAGATCAGTTGTATATTCTGGAATCCTTCATTCATCCTGTGAAAATCAAACACTGGGAGTCCTCCCTCTGCTCCTGCTAAGGCCTGCTAGATAAACCTGCAGCACTCCAGCTCAGGGTCTGTTTTTACCCCTTTCCTTCATCCAGGCAAAGTTGGGCCCAAGACTTTGCTCAGTGGTGGTACAGGGACCCAGGGCCTCACACATGCTAGGCGAGCATCCCACCTCTAGCTGTCCCTCTAGTTCCAACACTTGTTTTGGTGAAGAAACCAGGCAAGGAGGAGCAGATACTAAGGGCATAGGGGGAAAAGACCTCTGAGCCAGCACAGAGGAAAAGATCTCTGCCGCTGTGGGCTTCAAGGGCATCTTAGGATCCCATGTTTTGGCTTCACAGAGATGAGCTGTATTGAAGAATGAGCTTGCATGTGACAGGACAGCAACACATTTCGACACTTGAGTTTAAACTGTCCTCCAAGGGCCAGATGGCTTTAGCAACTGCAAACAGGCTGGAGCCCACAAATTGTCACGCTGTAGCTTCTCTCCATTGTCACACAAGACAAGTGCGATTTCAAATAGAAGGATTCATGCTTGTTCCCTCACACTCCAGAAACTTTCAAACCAAAACAAACAAGAATTGCCCTGTACTTCCAGTACGTGTGTAAAAACAATCTCTTCCCAGAATTCTACTGGAGTGACTTTGTTCAATAGAAATTAACCACATAGTGGAATGGATCTTCTTTAGAAAAATTAGCTACCCTGGGTTTTGCATTTGTGTCTATCTTAGTACGTGCACTTACCAAATACTCTGAGGAATGTTAGCCCAATTTTTAGGACGTATCTTGATTTTTTTTATTGTCGCACAATTTTATTTTTCAGTGAGGACAGGGTACATGCCTTGGAGTGTGTGAAAGAACATGGGTTAGAGGACAACTTGCAGAAGCTAACCCTCTAGTGTGGGCCCAGGGATTGAACACAGGTTCATGAGGCTTGGTGTCAAGCGCCTTTATTCACTGAGCCATTTCACCAATGCATTTTGCTACTGCAATACTAAACATTGAATACAGAGCTTCACGCATGAAAGTTATATCCCCATCCAGGACCCATCTTTTAATAGCATAGCACTGCTGTGGAATATTCCTTTTGTATACTGTAAAGGTTTGTCACTCAAATTGGTTTAATAAAAAGCTGACCAGCCAGTAGCCAGGCAGGAAGTATAGGTAGGACAACCAAACGAAGGGTGCTGAGATGAAGAAGGACAGAGTCAGGGGAGATACCAACAGATGCAGAGGAAGCAGGATGTGCAGAAAATGAGGTAACAAGCCATGAGTCACATGGTAGAGGGCAGATAAGAAATATGGGCTAATTTAAAATGTAAGAGTTAGCTAGTAACAAGCCTGAGCTATCGGCTGAGCATTTACAATTGATATTAAGTTTCCATGTTGACTATTTGGGAACTGGCCAACGGGAAAGAAAAGTCTACCCACATATTACCTTTTCCATAAAGGAGTTTCACTTCCTGCCTTAGGTTGTATTCTCTGGGGCAGAGAATCATGAGCAGCTTCTGCTTGGAACCCCACCTGGGAGATAAACCCACAAGGAGATAGGAAGAGCTACATACCAGGGGCAGGCTGGTCACCTGTAATTGGACCTCAGCCAACCCTGAAGGTACCTTCCGGCAGAAATGGCTTATCAGCATTCAGGCCAAGGGGAGGGAATCTACAGAACTTGGGAAGGCCTCCCATTGGGACAGCACACAGTTTGCTAGGGAAAGCTCACTTCCCAAGGAGGAAGTCCCATGAGTCCTCACCAGTTGTATGAGTCTCAGTTATATTTCTGCTGCTGTGATAAACTATCCTGAAAAAGGTCCAGCTGCTGCCGAGGGCCATGTCTGGGTCTGTGGCCTTTATAGCAGCTGGGGTCTGTGTCGATGTCTGTGGCCTGCATCACTCAGGGAACTATAGAATCCATGTGTGATGAAGTCAGAGGGCCATGTTGACCCAGTTCAGTCCTATGCTGGCTATCTGGGAAAGCTGGCCCTGCCTCTTGCTGAACATTGAAGCAAGAGAGCTGCCCCTGCACTCAGGAGCGTTGGCCCCATCCCTCACCACAGGTGAGGGGGAACTGACACTGACAGCAGGAGCATCGGGGAGCTGGTTCCACCCCGTCACCCAAGTCAGGGGCCTCAGGGGCCTGAACTGACCAGCTCAGCTACCACCCATGCCCATAGATGAGCCTTGGCTTGGTCCACCGTAGCATCTACCCCATCTAGGACCCACTGGTTCTGTGGAAGATACCTGCAGGATCTCCATGACTGTTTTGTTTTACTTTTGATTTTTTTTGAGACAGGGTCTCACTACGTAGCTCCAGCTACCTGGAACTCACAGAGCTCCACCTACCTCGAGATCGAGTGCTGGGATTAAAGGCTGCGCTGTCACACTTTGCCCAGTGCCCTTGCTTTTCAAGTTCCATGGAGCGTTTTTTTTTTAAGGATTTTTTAAAAATTTTATTTTATGTGTGTCAGTGTTTGCCTTCTTGTATGTATGTGCATCACATGTGTACCTGGTGCCTGTGGAAACCAGAGGGAGTGTCACATCCCCTGAAAATGGAGTTGCTGCCAGCTGGAAGCCACTGTGAATCATGGGAACCAAAGCGGGTTCTCGGCAAGGGCAGCCAGTGCTCTTAATGGCTGAGCCGCCTCTCCAGATCCTTCTCAGTAGAGAGTTCAATAGAGCCTCTGGAGAGACTCCTGCAAGCCTCTTTCTAAGTGTCGGGAAACAGGCAGCCTAGTTCCACACCTCAGCCGTCTCTGACAGCAGGACAAACAGCCATCTATGTCTTTAAGAGAGGTCACTGAGCTCATCTTCGTAGTAGGAAATTATGTACTGAAATCTGGAGGGGAAAACAGTGGTAGACCAGATTGTTAGCTAAGTGCCTCACTCGGGACACTTGTGCACAATACCCACTGGAGACCAAGATGCGGTTCGGGGGGTCTCAAAATCACCTGGAGAAGATTTTAGGAAAGTTTATTAGTTAACTGGATCCGGGCCAATGACCAATTGGTAAAGAGCGACTGGACCTTGGACAGCCACCAAGCTGTGTGCTAGGGTAGGCGGCAGCACCGTGGACAGCTCCAAGCACACCCGCTCCTGGAGCCAGGGGCGGGGAGAGTCGGCTCCATCAGCTGATGCCTTACGTAGCGCCGGATCCCCACTTCGCTAAGGCTGGTCCGGGTGGGTGCGCCAGCGCGCGTTTTCGGAGAGTAGCAGCCCCAGGCATGGTGGAGAGAGGCCAGGTCAGGGCAGAAGACCATCTCTAGAAAGCAGGTACCTGCGTGGCTTTCCCAGCATCCGGCTGTTCCCCAGGGAGTCACTGCCCGGAGAAGGGGCTGGCGGGCTGGCAGGGAGCAACCCTGGATCAGCGACTGTTCTGACGCACCAGCCGGTTTCCAGGCATCCACCCTGCACGGAACCCATCCCAAGGATGCTCTGCTGCCGGCAACAAGACAGCAGTCTCCGCCGAGGTGAGGAAACGCAGACATGTGATAGCTTAGGCGGGCCCTGGCTTCTAGACTCTACCCCTTGAGTCCGCTTTCCAAATTTCTAAGGATACCGAGACTGTGCGGCTTGCAGTCTAGCACCCTCCTCTCTGCCAGCGTCTCCTCCAGACTCTCACTGATTGGATACTGGGGCCAGGTTCACCGGCTCTTGACAGAATCCTCTCCACTGGTCAGTTGTCGCAAACATTTCTAGATTGACTCCGGTGGGCTCGGTGGCTACACAATCTGAACGCAGGTGTCTTGGGCCAGCAATGGATCTGCCTGTAAACTTGACCTCCTTTTCCCTCTCCACTCCCTCCTCTTTGGAACCCAACCGCAGCCTGGGCGCAGAAGACCTACGTCCTAGTCGGCCGTTTCTCTCAGTTTTCCGAGTGCTAGTCCTGACATTGCTGGGCTTTCTAGCCGCGGCCACGTTCGCTTGGAACCTGCTGGTGCTGGCCACCATCCTCAGGGTACGCACCTTCCATCGCGTGCCACACAACCTGGTGGCGTCTATGGCCATCTCGGATGTGCTGGTGGCCGCGCTGGTCATGCCACTGAGCCTGGTGCACGAACTGTCGGGGCGCCGCTGGCAGTTGGGCCGGCGGCTGTGCCAGCTGTGGATCGTGTGTGACGTGCTCTGCTGCACAGCCAGCATCTGGAATGTGACAGCCATAGCCCTGGATCGCTACTGGTCCATCACACGCCACCTGGAGTACACGCTCCGTGCCCGCAAGCGAGTCTCCAACGTGATGATTGTGCTCACCTGGGCACTCTCTGCCGTCATCTCTCTGGCCCCACCGCTCTTTGGCTGGGGGGAGACGTACTCTGAGCTCAGCGAGGAATGTCAGGTCAGTCGCGAACCTTCCTACACCGTGTTCTCTACCGTGGGCGCCTTCTACCTGCCGCTGTGCGTGGTGCTCTTCGTGTACTGGAAGATTTACAAGGCCGCGAAGTTCCGCGTGGGCTCCAGGAAGACCAACAGCGTTTCCCCGGTTCCCGAAGCTGTGGAGGTGGGTGCTACAAGGATCGCTAAAAATATTTCACTTGCATCTCTGCTTTCTTCACAGCACACCTCCCCCGACGTCTATGGAAGGCGAAACTCTCCAGTTTAGGGAGATGTAGGCAAGGGAGGGTGCAGGCGCCAGAGACTCCCTTTGCTCCAAGTTCTGAATTACAGAGCCTCTCCCGTGCTGAGTGTCTCTGGTGGATCATTTTCTTATGTGGGAAATGTGGGGGTTGCGATTCGTGTCCTAAAGAGTCCACTTTGGCACTGAAACTCTGTGGATGGTCAGCACTCCTTTTAGAACTTCTGAAGAAGCTGCTGTCTGGAGGACACTGGCTCAGTGCTCAAAACAAAACAAAACAAACTAACAAACAAAAAAAAAAAACACAACCCCCCCCAAAAAAAAAAAACCCCAAAACCAAAAACCTTCCGGTTTTTCTGCATTGATAGTGAGGGTATCCGAGGATGGGAGATTAGGATGGTTGCCCATGGCGGGCACATCGCTTGTGTTGTGTTCTAGGCTATTTAGCAGCTATAGTTTCAGGGTTGCCATTCTTCAGTGTCCTGTCTAATCCCTCATCCCCAGATTAAAGACAACTGTTTACTGTCATCTTGGAGCCCGCATTTGTTGTCTGCGTTCCTTGCATTATGGTGTGTACCATTGCTTTCTGGGCCTATTTACTGCAACCGCACCAGGCCATGGGCACCCCTGAGGACCACCTGGCCTATTTGCTTTCCCTTTGAGTAACAGAAAGGAAGAAGTCCAAGTTTCAGGACAGACAGCTCCCTAGCTCCCTACAACTGACATTTGAAACAGACAAGCCCTGCAAGGAAATCCTGCTTCTATCCTCTGCCAGCCCTCTCCTTAACTCCTGGAAATCTGACTTGGTGAGTCAGTTTCTCAAGCTCCACAAAAAGGCACCAGCTCCCAACCCATTGCTGAGAGCCTCGCTTGTGTACTGAAGCTAGATCAGACAAGGATACTGTCCCAGTTTTCTGTTGTTGGGCTCTGGGAAAGCATAATACTCTGAGTGCGCTGAGTGTGTTGTACTGGCTTGTACCTTGTGAGCGTGGCTGCATTTCAGTCATCCAAGCCTAGGGCATGATGGGTGGAGGTAGGGGAAAGGGGTATCAATTTTGGTTTTTAGAATAAAGAAGGACTACCTAGAACAGTAGTCCTTCACCAAGGATGATGTCTGGACTGCCTGGTGATTTCTAATAGCACAGTACAGACCCACAACAAAAAATTGCAGGGATCAACATTCATAGAACTGAATTTTGGAGACTAATGTATTCACCAAAGAGCCTGGAATTAGGTTCCAAGTAGCCTTAGGCAACGGGGATACTGGGCTCCACCTCTAATTTCCCTGGTAACAGAAGGCTTTGCTATTCCTAGGAATTTAAATTACCATATAAAAAGGTGAAGGTTGTTCTATCCCTAGCCTGAGGGGAGAGCTGACATGTCAAGCAGTCAAAAAGGAGGTGGTAGGAATAAATCTCCCCCCAATGAAAGGAGGTACTTTTCCTTTCCAGAGGCCCCTTCCCCGCTGCAGCCCCTTTCAGGATCAGCACAGTATAACCTGCCCCCTTTCCTCTTCTTTTAGACACTGGCTAAAGGCCAAGTGTGCTTTCCCTGTACTCTGGACTCGGTCACTTTCTCTCTGAAGCCCCCTCTCCTGGCACCCTGTGGCTGCTTCCTGGCTGCCACCGCAAACAGCATGACTTCTCTCCCTCTTCTCCCAGCCCTTGGCAGCTGCTGAGAGTCACACCTCACCCTGTTGTTTTCCTTTCAAACTCTAATCAAATTGCCCCCAACTTCCTCTCTAGTCTGCTTCTAAATTCTTTTATGAATGACTGATGAGACTAAGAGCCTAAAAACTGAGCCTCAGTTTCCCCAAGAACACACACAGACCCCAATTATGAACAATAGTGACACTGGGAAATTGAGATCCCTTTTTTTGGGAGGGGATTGGTCTCATTATTAAAATAATTTAAGAATAGACTCAAATGGAAACACAAAAGACAATTTTAGCATTTAAAAGAAAATCTCAAAGGCAGGCAACCCTTGAAACCTCAGCTGCTGCCCAGAGAAGGAGGAGAGGAGGGAAAAAGTTATTTGGTTTAAGCCTGTGTAGAGGTCAGATGAAAGGTGAACTGGGGGCCACGGGGTGAGAGGAGGCTTTAGAAAGAGTAAGGAAGTCCAAATGTTGGGGTGGGGGAGCCCAAAGTCACAAGGAAAGCACACTTAGAAAAGAAACAGAGGATGGGTAGTGGTGGTACATGCCTTTAATCCCAGGCTGAGAGACAGGTGAATATCTGTGAGTTGGAGGCCAGCCTGGTCTACAGGCAGGCGAGTTCCAGGACAGGATCCAAAGCTACAGACAAACCCTGTCTCGAACCCCTCCCCTAAAAGAAAAGAGACAGAATGATGAAAAGGAGAAATTACACTTAGAAAAGGAGGCAGCAGGACGATGTGGTTGTAGCTTAGTAAGTTATTATACTGGGACAGGGGCTGGGGGAAGGCAAACTCAGTATCTCATTAAAGGACTAATTACCCACCTACCCACCTCTGCAGCATGTCTTAAGGAAGTCTTGTTTCTAGGCATGGTTTCTTGGTCAAATGAATGATCCTGCCCAACTGAATGTTAGGTCACCGATTCAGGCCAAAGATTCTAGTCTCTTGATCAGTTTTTGGTTTGTATTGTTTGTATTGTTTTGTTTTTTTCCTCTAATGGAGGGGAGATGCTGGGTCAGTTTATTAGGGACTGGGAGGTCAGGGCTCATTGCAGGTAGTGATATAAGACTACCAGCCAAGGGAACAAAGCTTTGATTACTGAACTGAGGGCTGGGGAGCAAAGTCAGTGTGTATTTATTTTTTTAATTTAAAAAGATTTATTAGGGGACTGGAGAGATGGCTCAGTTAAGAGCACCAGCTCTTCCAAACAACCTCAGTGGGATGTTCAGCACCCACATGGCTCATCACCTTCTGTAACCCAAGTTCCAGGGATGCCCTCTTCTGGCCTCTGAGGCCACTGCATGCACATGGTGCACAGACATAAACAGAGGCAAAACATTCCTATATTAAATAATTAAAAACAAGCATTTTGCCATGGAGGCCAGAAGAGGGTGCTGGATCTCTTCCTGCTCTCCATGTATCCTCTATGGACTGATCTCTCTTCCCTAGTACTGGGATTAGAGGTGTATCTCACCATACTCAGTTTATTGGTGCTCAAGATTGTACCTGAGGTTTGCACATGCCATAAGCATGCTACCAACTGACCTCAGTACATTTTTTTTAATCTTATGTGTATGGGTGTTTGTGCACTACATGTGTGTCTGGTGTCTGTGGAGGTTAGAAAAGGGTGTTGGATCTTCTAGAAGTGGAGTTAGAAATGATTGTGTGAGGCTGGGTGGTGGTGGTGCACACCTTTAACCCCAGCACTCGGGAGGCAGAGACAGGCGGATCTCTGTGGGTTCGAGGCCAGCCTGGTCTACAAGAGCTAGTTCCATGGAAAGAAAGAAAGAAAGAAAGAAAGAAAGAAAGAAAGAAAGAAAGAAAGAAAGAAAGAAAAAGAAATGGTTGTGTAAGCTTCCTTGTGGAAGCCGGGAATTGAACCCAGGTCCTCTAAAAAAGGAGCCAGTGCTTTTAACCACTGAGCTATCTCTCCAACCCCCTTACTGTTAATTTATACTGTTAACAGTTTAAAAGGAAATGTTTCTGGGGACTCTGATCCAGTTGCATGGGTGCATTGGACTGCAGTTTCTCTTGTTTGTGGGGTGTCTATAGGGACTCCAGGCCCCTTGCTGTCTTTTTGGTAATGCTCTGGTCTACAGTGTGAGCATTCTCAGCACAATCTCCTCACGAGTGGCAGCACAGTCGAATGGGAGCAGACAATACTCATCGGACTCTGGGAGAATCAGAGAGATGAGAAAGGCTGTTCTCTCACCACTGGACCCAGGTTCCCTCCATCCTTTGAAAACTGTGCTACATAGCCACAGATTCGTTTATTCTTTCTCGTGTCACCTGGCAAAAACAAATCATTTTGTCTATCTGTTATTTGTTTGTGGTAGGGTCTCTCTATACAACACAGGCTGGAATTCCTTATATAGCCCTGGTTGGCCTTCAACTTGAGAATTTTCCTTCCTTAGCCTCCAAAATAGATTACAGCACATACTATGCCCAACTGAAAACCAACTTCCCTCTGCCTATCAGATACCTTGTTTTTTCATTGTTTTACATTGTGTGTGTGTGTGTGTGTATACACGTGCGTGCATGCATGTGTGTGTGTGTATGTGTGTGTGTGCCTCCATGTACATGTGGAAGCCAGAGGACAACCGACCAGAGTAGGTTCTCTGTTTCCAACCAGTGGGTTCCAGGGGATCAAACTTAGGTCATCAAGGCTAGTGGCAAACACCTTTACCTGTTGAGCCAACTTGTCATTCTCAGATAACTTTTCCTTCATTTATTTTTTAATTATTTTATTTTATGAGTTATAGGTGTTTTGCCTGTGCATATGTATGTATACCATGTGTGTGCCTGGTGCATGCAAAGGCCAGAAGAGGGTTTTGGATCCTCTGGAATTGGAGTTACAGACAGTTCTTGTCTGCCGTATGGATGCTGGAATCAAACCTGGGTCTTTTGCTTGAACAGTTGAGCAGTGTATACTTTTGGTTTTTGAGGCAGGGTCTCTCTATGTATCCCTGGCTGTTCTGGAACTCACTGTGTAGACCAGGTTAGTCTCAAATCCGGAGATCTGCCTTCCTCTGCCTCCCGAGGGCTGGGATTAAAGACTTAGGGCCGCTACACCCAGATGAGCAGCTAATACTTTTAACTGCTGAGCCATCTCTCCAGCCCACCCCCAAATAACTTTTAAATTGTATACCAAATGAGTTTATCTCCTATAGCGTGGAGGTGAAAAGTAGCTTTAACTCAGTACAAGCAGGGTATCCACAGTTTAGGCAGATGTCCTCTGAAGTTAGAAGGATGGAGACTTGGTAGGTGATTAT